TAAAAAAAAACTATTATCCATAGATATCTGTAAATATCCGCGGATATCATAAAACCCGTGGATTACCCGCTTAACGGATACCCGCGTGAAAATGGGACAGATATGGATATCATATTTATCCAACGAGACATATACAAATATCATAGTATTTGTCCCAATGGATATCCATTTATATCCCTAATCAAGTGATAACCTCAATGATGAGTCTTCACTCTATAATGATGCATAATTGAAAGTACCAAAGCCTTGGGGAAATTCCTCATAATGACCAAACATCAGGTCATATAGAAAGTTTACCCATTAAAGAGCCTAAATACACAAGTCAATCTGAGGGTGAGTCTATAGAGCAAGAACATGTATACATAGATGACATGAATGAGGAAGTCACAAATAAAATTTTAAAAAAGAATCATCAAGTGGAAGTGAAATAGATGTCTCAAATGAGGAGGAGCCTCAGAACATGTCACGCATAAGACGACCTCCAAATCATCTAAAAGGCTATGATTGTGGCAAATTAAACATATATGTACTTGGGGGTGCCTATGTCCGGCAAGTGCCATAAGCAAAATCATTATCAGTTTCTTATAAACAAGGTTAGAACCAAGTTGAGCCACTTGATGTGTAACTAGTTGTCCTTTACTGAGAGGGTTACTCTTGTAAAATCGTTGATAGAAGAACTTCCTACTTACATTTTATTTGGGGTCATAGCAATAATTCTTAAAAAAATGCACATTATTCGTTGGTATGATATTTGCAAACGAAAGCAATTTGATGGTTTGGGCTTAAAACATCTTGTTAAGATGAATGAAGCTTGTATTTCTAAGCTGAGTTGGAAGCTTAAGTGTGGCGATGAGGCCTTGTGGTGCCAAATTTTGGAAAAAAAATACACAAGGAAAAGGATTGATGGGAATTTTTTGGAGGTTAAGCCATATGATTCGAGCTTGTGGAAGTATGTGGCTAAAGAATAGATTGCTCTTGATAATCATGTGATATGGGGGAAAATTGGGGTGGGGGGGGGGGGGTTCTAGGATTCAAGCGTGGGATGACTATTGGGTGCAGAAAGGTGTGAAGCTAAGAAATGTGATGATCACTCCTGACTCTTGTTCGGAGGTCAATCTGCTTAGAAATGTGATGATCACTCATGGCTCTTGTTCGAGGTCAATATGCTTAGAAATGTGATCATCACTCATGGCTCTTGTCCGGAGGTCAATATGCTCAATGATCTGGTTGATTGCCAAGGAAATTGGAATTGGAACATTATTAATGCTAATATTCCTGCAAAGTATGTGGAGAAAACACGTGTCATAGCTCCTCCTCAAAGGGATAGTTTTTATCAAGATAGTTGAATTTGGAGCGAAACTGCGACTGATATGTTTCCTACTGCTAACTCTTAAGAGGTTCGAAACTCCCCTTATCAAGGAAATGTAATGGTGCAATATTTGGAAGCTTGCAGTGCCTAAAAGAATTATATATCTTGTGTGGCTGGTTCAAAAGAAAGGGCTAAAAACTAACCTTTTACTCTATAAGCGTAATCTTAGAGATTCTTTATGTGGTGATTGTGCATGTGTTGTCGTATCCTTATTACATGTATTCAGAGACTATTTGGTGGCTAAGGGCATCTGGATGAGTTTGGTTCAGGCTCAACATTGTACTACGTTTTTTTCTCTTGCTCTTGATGAGTGGATAACTTTTAATCTTTTTCAGAACTAAGACTCTCCTAGCATGTATTAGTCTGCTATTTAGGCCACTGCATATTATAAGTTATGGTAGTGAGAAAATCAAAAACTTCACAACTCTGATTTTGTGCTTCCTGAGATGTTGATTAATGAAATTCAGCTTGCTCATGGTCATTATAGAAGTGCAACTGCGTTGCAGAAGAAGGTAGTGAGAAATGCCAAGCCTAAGACTCTTGCGAGATGGGCGTCTACTGAAGAAGGTTCAGTGATTATTAATACTGATGGTACAGTTTGTAGTAATTGTAAGCTGGGTGCGGATGCCTTATTAGAAATGTTAAATGTGCCTAATTATAGGGTTTTGCCAAGTACATTGGTAATTGCAATGCCCTTCTTGTTGAATTGTGGGGAGTCCATGAAGGAATAAGATTGGACAAGAGTTATAACTTTAACAATGTTGAGTTTCAGGTGGACAATGTGGAAAATTTTAAAGTTATTACTAGTTACAAACTTCATAGAAAGTTCGGGCTGAGCATGGTTTGCAAGATTTAAGATGACCTCAAAGGCTTACATGATTTTTGTGTTAAGCATATCCTCTGTGAAGCTAATAAATGTGTGGATCAACTAGCAAAGTTTTGCTTCTCTATAAATACCCATCCTTCCTACTTAAGTTTGTCCATCAGGATGTTGTTGTGGTCGGTTAGTTTTGTTATTGTTTGGGCTTAGGCTCTCCTTTTGTCCACACAAAAAATGTTTGAATAAGTTCAGAGATGCATCTTCGAAACAAATTTGAAACAAAAATTATGAGGTGAATCTCAATTGGAGCGTGTTTCAATGAGATAAATGGTAAGTCCAAAGATATACTCCGAAAATCTAATTGCATGTAAGGTGTTTTTCCATCTATTAGGTGGGATTAGCAATTCCCCTAATTTTTGTTTCACATGGAAGGAGGTGGATGAATGATTTAAAGGTTACAAATGAGGTGATTGTTGGGGCATGGAGGAGTTTTGGGGGTTAACTTGCAACATTTGATTTTTGCAATTGGGAAGGGAATAGAGACCAGGATGAGGGAGAAGTGGTTTGTGGATGTTCCAAGGACTGGGGAAACGGAGAGATAGTGGGAGTGTGGCTACCATTGGGGAGGGTCAAAGTTGGCTTGGGGAAGGGATTTTTAGGGTGGGGGTGGGGTTGAATAAGTGAATGTGACGTTATGAATTAGTAATTTAGAATATTGGATTTAGAAAACAAATTGAAGATGAAATGGATTCCTAAGTTTAGAAGATGAAAATGTCATTTCTCTTTTGATTCATGCCACGAAAGAGGAGACAAATGAAATTGCTAGCAAGTAGCAATGTCGTCAGCAATTTTCATCACACTAAAAAATGATGATTATTAATTTTACAACGATGAAATCCAAATAAAACATTTACAAGAGTAAAACAAACACACTCTACATTTGCAGCAACCGAACATATAATTAAATATTTTTCTTATATTCAAAACTAGAGGGAGTATCGGTTAACATATTGGATTTGAGAGGAAACCTTTCCCACCCTATAGTCCTCACTCTTAGTAGTCAATCCTCTAAAAATACAAATATTTTAAGCAGAGCATAAGTCCGATGATTCCAAAAGAATTTAAACATGGAAGCATGTCAAATGCATACAATCATTCTTAAAGTATTTACCTCACAACTTGGCCCTTGACAACCCTCATAGCCTAAGTGTAAATTTTTGCTGACAACAAAATAATGATTTCCGACATCAAAACAACAATCGACCTGTCAAATGAGACTAGATAGATAACGTACTCCTTTAAATCTCTATGTCTACAATTTTCAGGGTACAATATGACAATGAAAATCAAAGAAAGCCTACCCTGCATATAAATTGTCAAAAAACTATAGCTTGGGTAAAATCCCAGACGGTTCCTAACCAATTCTGAATGTAAGTGTGAACTCTATTCTTTTACAAAGTTTGAAGAGTAATACCACGCAGCATGGTGCTCAAACCTTAAACAAACCCCAAAACATGCATCTTTTGTTGCCACGAAAGGGAGCATGCTCCTTCATGTGTTCTCCTTGCAAACATCCACATTCATGGAAATCGCTGAAGCTTCATCCAAGTATAATTAGATGCAGTTAAAGGAGCACTGTTCAATAAATTGGCAAATGAAAAAGATGTCAAGTGCTGTTACCTATTAATCCATCATACAGAAACTCTTAGAATCCTGTTTATACAGGGAATCATTCCATACATGCACTCATTCTCTCACTTATAATAATTGGGACTCAGATTATAAATTGTTTCAATTATAGTAAGCTATGTTGAAATTTTATTCATGTAGACAGGAAAGCATAGCGCTTGTTTGGTTTGAGACATTATTCATAAAAGAAACAGTGAAAAAGAAAACTAATTCTTTTTGTCACCACAATTTCTCTTTGAAAACAAGAAAATAAATAAACAGAAGCTGACTTTTTTTGCAATTAAAGATGAAAATATAAAATATTTTTTAAATCCAAGTCCTTAAATTTTTTCATGTAGCTGAATCTCTGTAAACCTAAATTGTAAGAGACATGGTTTCAATGCCAGGCAAGATCTGTAGAATCCAAAATGTGGCTAGATTAGTAGATTTATCACACTATACAACAAGGTCTAGCAAAATTGAGGTATCCATTGATGTGTTGTTATTGTTTGGATGAGCTTGAGTTTGTAAATGCGCTTTTGTCCAAAGTTACAACCAACCATGACTCAATATTCAAACTTCATGCTTCGTATACAGATAAAGCGGGAATTGAAAAGCAAACAATTATCCCAAACCTAATTGATTCTTCGTCACCATTTCTTTACTTATCTAATACTTTATCACTTAATTAAGGGATAAAGCAACACCCTATAAGGGTTCGTACTTTCTAAGTCTTCTTACGGTAAGGCCACATTACCACTGGAATCAAAAACTAGCGGCAGGTCACAAACTCTATTCCTTTTGTTATTATAAACCGACAACAATTCTTTGTTTACTAATTTCTGATGACAAAATCTTAAACAAATAATAATAATAATAATAATAATAATAATAATACTAGTGTTTTTGCCTCTTCAATTTCTGAGGTCAGAGCGTTCAAACTTTTCAACATCCACATTCATGAGCATAAAACCTGATAACTGTCACTCTAAAACTTAAGCAGAAAATAATATGAACATTTCCATTTTCTATACTGTAATTTATAATGTCCATTTCTGAGACTGAAAAAAGTGTTCTAAACAAAGGGAAAAAAACAGAAGTGTCAAGTGCAGTAATAACAAGGTTCGTACCTTTAAAATATCTTCAATTATCTAGCAGTCCAAAGCTACTGGGTGGCCAAACCTGATAGAAAACAGTATTTGAAATATCTTTACACTAGATTCGGATAAATAGAACAATTTTGCAGTTGAAAGAGAAGTGTGCAACAACTATATAGTTTTATTGGGATCAAGAAAAACTATATTTGCAAAGCATAATAACATGAAAGTAATTAATCAGAAGGACCTAGTTCCAATTGGCAAACGATGTCCTCACTACAAAGATCGACGAAGTTTTTCCAGTATATCATATCTAGATCAGCAAAGAACATCTAGAACTTCTCTAGCCATTAAATTTACAATATGTAAAGATACAATCAGTAGACGTTTCCAAGCATTTGCATGAGTCCGGAAAGAACATAGAAGCATTTATGTAATAATAATATAACAGTATCATTAGAACCCTAGCTCCCTCTAAATTATTCAGGAAAAATACTATTGATCCACATGGAAGTATAAAAAATGATGTAAGAGAAACCTATTGAACCAAAATGGAAGTATAAGAAATTGAAGAATATAGTATGAGGCACGACAGTTACCCGAAAAAACACTTTTCCTTTTATAAGGCCATATGGAACAGGACCAAAGTGACGTGAATCACGGGAAGCATAGATGTTATCTCCTTGAATCCAAACATGCCCCTTTGGCACCTACGGGAATAAATGTTGATAAACTAAGCAATAAATCAAACTTATAAACAGAAATTAAATAAGAATATTATTATAATTTATAACAGGAAAAATAAATTCAACCTGCAAGACATGTATTCCAAGCAGATGGAAAAGAAATAAGACAGTTGTTTAATAAGTTATTAATTATAGAGTTTTAAGACTCAACATGGGAAATTGGATCAGAAAGATGCTCTGATATGTGGAATCAAGGATATCGGTAAGCTTGAGTAAATAAGTATTGCAATCTAAAAAATGACCAATTGCCTCAGCCAAGAGCATAGGGATATTTCAAGTAACATAACCAGATACCTTAAACAAATAACTGATCTTTTACCATAATGGTTTACAGTAAAATAATGGCAACGGCAAAGTGAGCAAATCAGATAAATACATTCCCTCAAGGCTCATTGATAATAATCAACATATATGCTATATGGAACCTTAAGAATTGCATAATTTGAAGAAACCTTGTAATGAAACTGTACTTTCTATTACATACTTTCTATTACATATATAAGAAAGAAGTAGGAAATTGCATTCATCATTCCCTTAATTAAATCCTTTCACTAAGATTATCACCTAAACATCTAACAATCTAACTCAGTTGAATGGACAACCACAAAGATTCATCTAAATGGGACATACCACACAAGTAATAATTCTCTTATTGAACACATCTTAATCAATGGCTTGCAATCTCACACCTTAACAGTTCTTAAACCTTCTTCCACTCACTACAATCCAGCATGATAAAACATTTATGTGATACTTTCCAGAAAATATAACAGTATTTGCATACTTCTCCGCAACTACGATTAAGGCTGTATCATCCGCATTTGATCGTGAATCTCCATAATATCATGAATTGCTTGTGACCACAGCCATTACCACAACTGATATTTAAAAATTGTTTCGGTACACCAAAAAGTTTCATATTGTTTAAGAACCAAGGCTAAGAGTAGTTTATAAACATCAGTCTCCTCAACCTAATGGGGAGGATTTTAACTAAGAACCAGAGTGTAACGACTCGCATTCACATAAGACCAAAACAAACAACACCTCATAAAGGCATGGTTGCACACTTAAGGTCGAAACATTGACGTTGGAAAGAGGATTTAATACGCGAGAGGCTAATAGACTATGAAATACGGACACTAGAAACACAACACTTACACGTCGAAACCAGTAATAATTAGAAAAACAAATAAATTGAACGTGATCACAAGTGTCAATGTCAGTTTCAGACATCAACACAAACACATTTTTTCATAGGTTCTCGGTGCTACAGAGCTAATAGATCCTTTAGCCCCTTAACCTTGATTGGGGACTATTGTTCCAGGACACCAAAAGAGTGTCACATTGCAGAATCGAGCCAATCGAGGCTAAGGATAATTTTTAAACTTACTTGAGTCCTCTCAAAAATATGGACAAAACTACTAGGGCTTACAAAAGACCCTAAGCTAACAAAACATTGTTCATAATTGTTGACCTAACATGACAGCAATCAAGTATGCAGGTTTTCACAACAATGTACTTCAAATAAACTACAAAAATCAAAACTAAAACAGAAAAGAAAAAATGAAGAACAAACCATTAAGCACACACACCACAGCAGTTCGAGAGGAATCAGAGCCCGAAGCATCAAAGAAAGTAACAGTCTCCCCTTCCATAGCAACAACACGCTTTGTCAAGTTCCGATTAGGGTTCAAAGGTGACCGTACAAGAACCAAATCACCATGACCAATTTTCCCAATCCGCGGAGATAGGTGTTCGACGAGAACAACATCGCCGGCGATATTCAGGGTAGGGAGCATACTAGGTCCATACGCCTGCAAACAGAGGATCCCAGCAATTGAGTCAATAGTGTGTATACAAAAAATACGAAGAAGAAGAAGAAGAAGAATGAGAACGGAATGAATACGTGAGTTGGGGAACAGAGGTAGTTGGCGGTGAAGTGAAGGCAGCATAAGAACTTTGCGATTATCGCTGTGCGATCCAACGCTTCTTTCGTAGCGCTTCTAATGTTATTCATAAACGTCATACCTCTCTATGACTGAGTATTTTTCAGAATCCTAATATGAAGATGAAATTAATTCGATATTTTAAAAAGAAAATGCAGAATGAAACCAAACAAAATAAAATACAATGAATTTATTTATACTAGCGTTGAAACAAGGAATCCAGTGCTCGTCTATCTGCTTTTTTTTAATGCACACAACATAGAAAATTAAATGTGTATATATTTTATATAAAATATATATTAATGAATTAACTATATACTAGCGTCCAAACGGACACGGAGTGCCCGTTTGTCCGCTTTTTTTATTGCGCTAACGCGCAAAAATATTAACAGTGTATTTTTTTTTATAAATTTAATTTTATTATAAACTATTTATAATGATTTTTATATAAATTATTTATATGATGAAACATTAAGTTTTGTATTTATATATTACTATAGATTAGTCAAAACCATAAGAAGATTTAGATAGAAGAAGAACAAAAATCTTTCTCACAATTTATTAAGCAACTAAACATAAACATTAATACGCATATTAAGTTACATTATTGCTTAATAGAAAGGTCAATCATGAAATCAAAATCAAAAATATCTCTCGTTTCAGTGCAAAACAAATGAAGTAATTCATTAATATATTTTTTATTTGATTTTGATTTTAATTTAAATTATTTATCATATATATATATATATATAGATATATATATATATATATATGTGTGTGTGTGTTTATTAATTTAATTTTTTATTGAGTATATGGTCAATGAAATGCTTCCAAAGATTGTTGGAACAAAACTTTTTTATTTATTGAAACAATACTTTAAGAAATGTTTTAACATTTGATTCTCATTTCCCTGCATTATATTGGAGGTGTGTGTAATCTTTAATATTTATTGTTCGTTTTCTATTATATTATTAGTATTGTATTAAATACAAATGAACCAATTTATAAATAAACAATTCATATATTTCTTATCTTGAAGACCAATGGGTTTAAAAAGAAAGACACTTAAAAATAATGTTTCATTGTTTTTAATAATATTCTCTAACCAAATCAATATAATTTGATATTTAGTTGCAACAACCAAATGCAAAATCAACAAAATAGATTTTAAAATAAAGGCAAATTATCTCTTAAAGAAATAATCATAACATTGTAAAGGAAAAGAAACCTCATATCAATTAACAATGAAGTATGATAAAGAATTAGAGAATGAATTAGAGAATGGTGATCAAATAAGAGATGAAGATGAAGAATTTTTTTTCTCTATTTATCTTTCACAAACCATAAATTATGGAGTATGATGATGTATTTTTTTTTTTTTGTCACCGAATGAATGAATTTCTATTTTTTATTCATTTATAAGTGTGTTTTGCACTTCCATCATTTTTGTAAGAGATGCGTAACTATCAAAATTGTTTTTTTTTTTTTATTAAAAAAACCAACTTTGATAGTTATGCTCATCTTATAAAAAAACCGTATCATTTTGTTAACACTTTATTTTTAAAAATTAAATAAATTGAGTACAACTTAAAGAACAAAATGGGAATGAAATAGGTCCGTCCAAAATCATCTATCTTCTTTATCTTTATCTATAGTTATAGAATAGATAATAGTTATAGAATAAATAATAGTTATAGAATATATTAAGTAGAGTTTAGAGAAACCATAATAAATATTATAAAAAGAAATTTTTTTTATGAGAATAAAAAGAAATCATAAATAAAAGTTAGGGAGATAAATACAAATAAAACCCACAAATAAATTAATCTCACATAAAGTGAAATAAACAAAATTTTGAGAGATTAAAAGTTTCATGTTCTTGTTAGACAAAAAAAAAACATATAAGTTATTCTTCAAAAACTAAGTAAAATAGACAACGTATAAAGAAAAAAATATATAATAAACAAAATTTAAGAAATGCGAATAAATTAGAATATATGTACAATTCCATAGAAGTATCTTTTGTACACTCATTTCAATAGTTGCATGAAAAATATATATTTGTGTAAAAAAGATCATTTGAAATCCCTTCAAATTTTGCCACATATAGGTAGCATTATGCCTCTTTTGAAATTAATAGTCTCTTCAATTTTCTTTAAAAACATAACATAAATATTAAAAAAAAATAAAAATAAAAATGAGAGAGATGGGTTTTTTCTTTAGTTTTAAACGAAGAACTTAAGAGAGAAAAGAAGAGAGATAATCAATCAACATTGCAAAACCAAATACATAAGACATTTTTCAGTATTATATATCTACTTAGGTGAAGTGTTTGCAGATATTAATAAATTTATTAGAATTGTGATATAATAAATAGAATTTATATAATAATTAACAACTTTAATAATAATTTTACATAGAGTTGGTTCAAAAATACAAAAAACTACAAAGTAATATAATTAAAATGAATAACTTTTAATAACTAATCAAACCTATAGAAATAATTATAAGTGAATAATTTACATCTGTTACATTTTGAAAGATTATGCCCATGTGTTCTTCCCATTGTCTTGCACATTCTTCTATCTTGCTTGATTTATCCATTAAAAACTAAAAAGAAATTTAAGAATCATTATTAAATATATAAAAATAGTGATGTAGAAAGTATGTGTAAGAAAATTAAAGTTATTAGGTATTCTCAAATTTTTAAGAATCTTTAAATTTTGAAGAAGAAAAATTGAAAATATGAAAATATTGAAGATAAAAATGCAGGTAATATGTGATAAAGAAAGGAAATGGTAGAATACTTAAAACAAAAGGAATGATACGTGAATAAAAAAACGGCATTATGTTGTTGATACTCAAAGAAACTACACCAAAAATATGAATCTATCATTAAGACTTAATTACACATTAAAAATAATAAGAACACATAGAAATTTGACTTCTTTCTTTCTTATGCATTACCGATGATACTAAATAATTTTCAATAATATTCATCTATTAATCAAACAATAGAATGAAATGAATAAATTTAAAAATAGGTAAAGGAATCGATCAAAATAGTTAAACTTTAAAAGTCAGTGAGAATATTAAAATTAAAAAAAAAAAGATAGTATGAAAATTGGAAAAATAACCTCTTCTCCATAAAAAAAAATCTCTATGTTTATGTTAACAATAACTTTTTTCTACTTCAGTGTCTTCAAACTAATTAAAAACAAAAATTTAATAAGAGTTGCCAAAAGAATATAACAGAAAAATTAAAGTTAATTTAGAGAAATACTACATAAAAGATAACAATTACCATTATTATCTTTCTCTTTCATTTTCATCTTTGTTTTCTTTCTTCCATATCTTTAATTTGCTTCTCCAACATTTTTTTTTCTCTCTCAATATATCTAATGGAAAGAATATAAAATGGAGAGAGAAGATGAATTGATTTAGAAACCGCATAGAAGTTATGAAAGATGAAGAATAATAACTAACTAATAAAAGAATGTAATAAAATCAATTTATTAGGGACAAAATTGGAAATAAAAAAGCTACACCAAAAATGTTTATTGCATTTATATATTGTTATAGATTAATGCTACTATTATTTTAAACATACCAAATTAAATAAAATTTAGATAAAAAAATATGTTGTATATGTGAATTTTGATATTTTTTACGCACGTCAAAATAAGAACGGATATTTTTTTATTTAATTTTGATTTTAATTTAAATTATATGTATAGTAAACTTTTTAATTTAAATTATAGGTGTGTGATTTTTTTTGTGAGAGATGGAAGTTACTTTTTCAAATGGTAACCAACAAAAGTTATTAACCACTCAAGATTTTAAATTAAACTATTTTCTTGTTGATAAAAAAGATGAAGGGTAATTTTGGAACAAAAATAAGTCACTCCAAAAACTTGTATCCCCTTTATATATAGTTATAGATAAAATGATATCATTATATTTTTGGTGTCTATTTTTCCTTTTGTTAATGAAATCAAAACAAAAAATGATTGCACAAATGAAAAAAAATTGCTAGGAATCATAATTTTTGGATCTTCAAGTAGAAAATATAAATCTATCATCAAAAATTAAATAGAAAACATTATTAAAACAAAAAGTCTTTCATAATAACATTAACGCAAACTTTTGTAAGTCCATAATTTAGACTACTATTAGTATTTAGCATAAAAGAAAGGTATTACGAACAACATATAAAATCATTTTTAACTTTCAATTTATAGAAAAATTGGAGAAGAACATAAATATCAAAATTAGGTAAATAAAATAGTAGAAGAGTAAAAGGAATAGATGAAATTTAGGATGAATTAACTTCTTATAAATATAATGAACTGGTCCTTCTTTTAACATAGATCATCATAAATATCTATTAATAGAGTTTGATACAACATGGTTCCAATGTTATATATGTAAAGCAGTAGAAAAAAAATATAATGCATGCATTATAATTTAAAGATGAAATTGAATAAAATATTTGCATTATAATTTAGATGAAATTGAATAATTAAAACACTAAGGATATATAAAAAACACTCATAAGAAAAAATTAAAGAAATTGTGAAAATATGGAAGATGTATTCTTTCATCTGACACAGCCCCTCATTTTTATGATGGTGTATCGCTGTTGTGATTCTGCCAAACACACATTAATGCCCTCTAAATAATAAAAGTGAATTAAAAACTAATTGTATAGAAGTTATATAACTGTGTAACAATTTTGTGATGGTGGTTTTAACCCATGATGAAAATAAAATTAAACATCAAAGTTAAAATAGTTTGTCTCTTATTACATTCACATAAGGATAATATTCAGAGAGAGAATATACTTTGTCAAGTGTTATATAAATCAATTGAGTGACTAAAAGTTAAATTGAAAGAATTAAAAGACTATAGTGAAAAGAAAATATTAGAGAGAAGTTATATAATTAGATATATGATGTTTTTCTTCTTTTATTCTCCGTCAAACTTTTCCTTTTTGTTTATTGTGTTCATCATATAAGAACAAATATGCATCTTTAAATTGTGGTATGTACGTGTGTAATGAGAATTTGAAAGCAAATGA